ATTTTTTTGGCTTTATAAGAGGCAAAATAAAAAAAAAATCTTTTCAAATATTTTTATAACTTATGCAAAAATGGTTAAGATTATTATTGAATTAAGAGACAAAAATAGCATCTTTATTGAGGAAGGGCATATGATATGGGAGCACATTCTATCCTCGTCATAACGATGAGCATAGAATACTCATCGCAATTTGGATCATTCAAATAGATTTTAGATGGTTCAGATTGAATTTAAATTTTTTTTATACAGTTTAATTAAATTTTGTTTTAATAGATATAGAATATAAAATAAATATAATATCATAACTAACATATCTTTAAAAAATAAATTTATTATTGAAAAAAATTATATATTAAAAATTTAAATCTAAACCATCTATATTAGATTTTGGATGGTTTAGATTATATTACAATAATGAGGTGCAAAGAGAATCGCTGGACATGCAAAGAAAAGGGAAAGAATCTTCAAAATACCTAAAATACCAGCCTGATCACACATGCATTAAACAAGACTACTAGCTTGCACAAACAAACACTCAAAAAGTAAGCAACGGTTACAAAATTTACAGAAGATAAAAACCCTCCCACATGAAATGAAATAATGAAGAGGATGGGTCACATGCTTTGATCATATCGAGGCACAAAGGTTGTAGTTGCAGCGGTTGAAACAGTTGATGAAAAAGTGGTATCCTGGCTGCACAAGGCCGAGGATGAATAGTTTGAAGATGAAGCCTCAGTAATCTCTATGCCAATATGACTTGCTGGTTTTTTCCTCACTTTGAGGTCCATAAAATCAGAGATCAAGGCTGGTTTTGCTATCCCTCTCGTCCACACGCATTCTGCCGGTGAGCATGCTTGCCACCGAAGACATGGATGGCCGCACCTTGGGATCATCCTGCGTGCAAAGAAGCCCAATCTTCAGAAATCTGCAAGCTTCCTCAGCATCAAACTCCCCATTCAGCGATTCATCTACCAGTGCTACTAATTCCTTTCGCTCATAAAGATCCCACGTCTGTAACAGCACAAACTGAAGTAAGAGCAGGTCCTCGTAGATGTAATATTAAGTTTATAAAAAGCTGCATTGTTTGTAAGTCATGAATAGTATGATTCACTTTAAAAGATTACAATCACAACAATGTCATCGAAAGCTAATTATTCATGTAAAATATTTGACAGCAAAATAGGCCCTTTGTTTCGAGGCGAGAATTCTGCCATTGAAGATGAATCCAGAGAGAATTAAAATTTATCCAGACTCCAATTATGTGATTAGTTTCCATTAAAGATGATAAGTACTATAGACGGACAAGACAGGAGACAATTTAAGAACTTGGTTATTTCATTTTAACAGCAGTTCTCTCAGCAATTCAAGCAACATAATCAAAGGTATTAATTTTGCACAGCACAATGGTAATGTCAGGGGCTCCAATGAACAATGAAGCATGAGCGCATAATGCAAAAATGGTGTGAGATACAAGAACATGCAGCTGAGGAGATAATAGTCATACACATCACACCAAATACTAAAACAATGAAAAAACATTAATGGTAAACCGTTTTGGAGACTAAGATTTATCCCAAGATAACCAACCAATTCCTCTACATCAAAAGCAACAGCAGTGATTTAAGCAATGCTTCAGTCTCCTCTTCATATCTCAACGTTTTCTATCAATGATATATCAAGAGGCAAGAGCACAAAAGGAGGATGTCATGGCCTTCTTTCTTGCGCTTGATATAGTTCGTGAATTCTAAATCGCTCAATATTGATAGTCCAAGGAAAGTCAAATGAATCTCCTATAATAATCTTCACGAAATCACCTAAATTAAGGTTTTTGTTGCCCTATTTATATGCAGAACCTGTAGCATAAGTTACAGCTGCACAAACATAACTCCTGTGTCTATAATGGTTCTAGATCGCAACACTACACGTGACATGGTACCAAGAGTCGTAGCATTGCCATAACAAACCATCAACAACAATGAGTAAGACATTTAACGCAATTCATTTCAAAAAGTATCTCTCATTCATATTGAAATACGAAAGTGAAGTTAGTGTAGTCTATCTCCTACACAAGCAGGTGTTTTTCACCAAGAAAATAAGTTATACAAGTTTTGCAAATATTTGAGATCCTCACCCTTTCTAGAAGGTACTGTTCTTCCATTGGTAACTGTGTATTTGTGTTACATCTCCCACTTACAATCTCCACAAGTAGGACTCCAAAGCTGTATACATCAGCTTTTCGTGTCAGCTTGCCTCCTATTGCATACTCTGGTGCCAGGTAACCTCTGCAACAGAACATACGGCATTAAGTCCTGACATAGGAATAATTACTTTTTATCCAAAAACAGGATATTGCAAACATATATAATCCAAGCTATCAAATCCTAATTCTTCAGAAAATAAGAAGGCAAGGGTAGTGGCTGATTATAATTGCACTGAAGCGCAGCACAGCACTGGCTATACCAAATTAAACCCTTCTGTCAATGGTAGATGAATACAAACTCCCAAGTACCAGTTACATTGAACTAAATCAAGACACGGGGTGGTAGTTATAACTGAGATCCCCAACAAGATGTGAGTCTAGCTATATTGGAAAAACGGAATAAATATATCACATTCCTTTTTCAAATGGAAACTCCTTTTTCCAATAAAAATGAAAGATCTCGAGTTTGAAACTGGAAAATTGAGGGGGAGGGATCAAGTCTTCAAAAAAATAAGAATAATTCACAGTTTGAAAGGGGGGAAAAGATCAAACAAACCAAAACCAAAAGCTTCAAGTTCGCCAGATTGTAAAATAGAAATCAAAAGCATCAGGTAATTATACTTACATAGTTCCTGCAACACGTGTGCTAACATGGGTCATGTTTGCTGGAATCAGTTTTGCAAGCCCAAAATCTGAAATCTTGGGTGTGAGGTCTCTGTCAAGAAGAATGTTGCTTGCTTTTATGTCCCTATGGACAATATGCGGTCTTACTTCCTCATGGAGAAAGGCAATCCCACGTGCAACCCCCACGCATATTCTAGACCGCGTTCGCCAATTGAATTGGATACTGCTACGCCGTGCACCTGGAAGTAAATAAATTAAAGCAACTTAATGAAATAGAATTCGTGTAAGATTAAGAGTCAGAATAAGTTAATAGAACACATTCATGTTGTACAAAAAAAATCAGGGTTGCCGTGCACAGCATTCTTCTCAAATTGGCCAAAATAAAAATAGCAAATGCCTCCTTGCAATGTTTTTCCAGGAAAATAGAAATGGAATTTCAATATCTCAAACACAGAATTAACAGATTAAACACAGACAGTCATCCAAACACAAGTAATATAATGCATTTACCTATTAGCGTTTGCGCGAGGCTGTTATTCTCCAGGTAATTGTAGACTAATATTCTGTGATTTCCTTCCACACAACAGCCATATAGCTTAACTAAATTTTCATGCTCTATTTCTGAGATCACCTTAATCTCAGTCAAGAATTCCCTCACCCCTTGTTTTGATTCAGCTGAAAGAACTTTAATTGCGGCAACTCTTCCACCTTTTAACCGTCCCTAATCATTCATAGGAACCGTTCTAAGTTTTCATTCAAAAGGAAAGGAAGGAGAAATCAACTTCAAATGCAAGCAATACTTAAAGTATCAAGTTAGAATGTTTCTCAATTACCTTGAAAACAGAACCAAAACCACCCTCTCCAATTTTATTAATAGGACTGAAATCCTCAGTGGCAATTCGTAGTGCTTTGTATGTATAGAGTCTGACATTGTGAAGAGCAGAAAATTCTGTTCCCAAGTACATTTAATCAAAACCCAACAATAGAAGTAGAATTTTTTTTTTCCAAGATATAAAGCAATAAATATCGTGATTAAAGCATACAAACATGTGGTTAGAAAAGTAATCAACCGTCGTGACTAAAAGTTCTGTAATCTCTTCCGTCTCATCATCATGACTATTGCAAAACAAATATTTCAGTTACCTTCTTCAATGTCTGGATCTAGCCTTGCTGAAGAACGCGACTTTCTACCAAAGAATCCAGGAAAACAAATCATGACCGGATGAAGTACCAGTGAGCAGCTTTAAAGATAAAATCGTAACAATAGCTTCGAATGTAAACACTTCCAAAGCCACCTGATCGAACCACCAAAGTAACAAATTTCAATGTCTCAGAATATGCAAGTGGAAGACACAGACTTCTAATTGAAAAAGATAATGCATAACTTTTAAGGCTTCACATTTCATAGGAGCTGAACAAAGTACAAAAGTTTAGAGCCTCGGATAGAACATGTGAGATATAACACAGAACAATGGATATGTTAGCTCCAATTTTACCACCAAAACTACAATGAAATTGAAAGGAGGTCCTCTAATACGAGAGGTGCATCAAAAGAAACAAACGCATTATTATGATTACACAACAGGAGACACATAGGCAGCAGATTTATTATGAAAAATGCCTGAGAATTATTTAATATGAAAAATGCTTGAAAATTCCATAAATGTCAGGATGACCAGGAAAAAAGCAAATACTCTGAACTGGATTATATTTTTAACGAAATTCTCTTTCACCAAGCACCATGGTTCGCATCACAACCTCTATTCAGGCGTTGATATGTCCTGAATGGCTATCGGTAACGTCTTTAGCAGCTCTAGGAAGGTAAGACTACGATTTTTTTTTTTAAGCAAAATTTTCCAGAAACAGAGATTGCAGGGACAATCAGAGCCCGACAACAAAATCTAAGGCACTGAAAAAGGGAAAAGAAAACTAATGAAAATTCTGTTTGCAGCGACGGAAGATCACTGATCGCCATTTATCGCAAGCCAAAAACCAGAACACAAGTAAATTTAGGCACAGAGAGAGAGAGAGAGAGAGAGCACAAAGCCACAATTGAAGGCAACCCAGAAAAGGGAGAGAATGAACGAAACGAACCTCAAACTGGTGAAAACAAGAAGAGTAGAACTTGGAAGAAGTTGGTATGGAAGAAGAAATAAAGGAGAGAAGAGAAAAGAAAGAAGGCGCAGAGAGATGATGAATTGAGGAAGCAAGGAAGGAGGAAAACGAGATGTGATATCTAGTTATGGTGGAGCTGGTGAGGTTAATGGTCTTGGCAAGGTCTCCGTAGGGATACGCAGAGACCTTGACTCCAATGCTTTCTTGTTGCTCTGTGTTTCTCTCCTCTTCACGTTCGACGACCAAGTCTGGGCGCAGATGGTTTGAAAAACCGAACCGTGTTCGTCATAAATGCTGGCCAGTGTTCCATTCCATCTTTCAAGGTTTAACACGAGCAGTAACTTGTACAGGGAAGTGTCATGGTTTTGTTGCTGCATGGTAAAATTTTATTTAAAATCATTGATACTCAGAATAAAAAGAACTTTTTGGCCAAAAAAAATTATAAAAATAAAATAAAATAAATACTTTTTAATATAAAAGATAGTTGTAAAGTCAATTTAATTTGATCCTAAATATAAAACTTTAATTCATTTTGTGTCTCATATTTATCTGCTTTGCCAATAAGGGTTTTCAGCAAAAAAAAAAGTTTAAACGTATATGATTAATAAGGATATTTTAAATAAAATAATACTCATTTATTATAGACAACTAACTTTTTTTTTATATTTACAAATTAGTTATCTACTTTTTAGATTAAAGATCAAAGATAGTATATACATAATATCAAACAATAATATATAAAGTTATAAAAAAATAATAATACTTGGTCCTTAATGTAAGATCTAGGAAACTAATTTGAAACTACTAAAAAAAAAGATATAATTATTTGTTATAAATGTGTGTTAGTTTTCCTAGACTATTCTTTTCAATTATGTGCATTAGATAATAGAAATTATTTTTTGTAATCAATGTGGATACTTTAAAAAAAGATAAGAAACAAAATGAATATTTATTGCAATCAATGCAGATATTTTGAAAAAAGATAAACAAAATGAATTAATTTCATAAAGAGTTCTAATCTTTATTAGAGATCAACTTAAATTTTTTTTAATCAACAACTTCATTTAGAAAATTAACAATTTATCAGCCTTTTAATTTTGTTTCCAATGCAAACTTTGAATAGTCTAGTCTTGAACAAATAGGCAAATAAACTAGTCAATATCTGCCTATTAATTAAATAGATGTTACCGTACTGTTCATGTCGTCCTCGTTTTTCCATATTAAATTATTAAATTATCAACTAACTATATTTTTGAAAACTCGTCATATATGGTTCATTTAAAACAAATCAGATATAATATTATGAAATCTAAATATATTTAATTAATGATATTTGAATAATATTTTGATTGAAATTTGAGTATATTTAATTAAATGAGAAGCATCATTATTAAATGGGATTTCAATTGATGACTCAAATGAAAAAATTTATAGTCAATTTTGAATTCAAATGACATCTTAATTGGAATTTGAATATATTAAATTAAATAGGAAGTATCATAATTAAAAAGTATGTTAATTGGAGGTTTAAATAGAGAAATAAATAAGTAATTTTAAATTTTTATATGATCTTCCTAATTTCTAAATCTCTAATTCAAATTTCATTTGAATAAATAACTAAAAAAAAATCACACTTCTATAAAAAGTGAATCTTGAGTTACCTTAGATAATAGAATTTATTAGAATTTAAAGTGTAAGCAAATATTCTAGTCTATGTACGACGCGGGAAAAAATATCTAGTTAATTACTATTGCTCATGTCATATTGTATCCTGTTTAAGGTTTTAGAGCACATGTTAATAAACATAATTAATAATGCATTTGGTCTTTAATACAACAACTAGTTGGAATTGAATTTAATAATAAATATAATATCTTAATTTATTTTGTCTCTCAATTTTATAATAATTTCTTCAAAACATCCATATTAATTGTAAGGAGTTTCCAACAAAAAGTAGTATAAGAAAATCAACACATATTTATTATAAATAACCAATATAACTAATTTTTAAATTTCTCTTAATTAATTATCTAGTTTTTATATTAAGTATCAGAGGTAATATGCCATAAATCCTTTTTAATTGTTCTCTAATACTACCTCCGGTCCTAATTATAAAAACTAGTCAACTAATTTGAGAAGATTAAGAAAAGAAACTAAGTTAGTTATTTATAATAAATATATATTGTCTTTCATAAAATATCCTTACTAATCAAGTATATTGGTTATAACTACTATTGTTAAAAGGACTACTGAAGTTTAACTGCCCTTAATTGTCGCTTTGGGGTTACTCCAAAAATTAACCGAATTAATGCAATATAGTGCAAAACTCGGGTCGTTTCACTTTGAGGAGCCGAAAACAAAATTAAACCCTAGTAAATAAATATAAGTAACCTAAACTATAAAAAAGGATTTTTGATTTTTTTTAAAAAAACTGTTAATTAAATACTACGAATCAAATTGAAATTAAAATACTTTTTTTTTGTTTTTATATAAAAGTGATTAAAATGAATGAAGATTAAAGAAATGAAAATGAGACACACAAATAACGCTGATAAAAATCAATCCTCCAATTCAACAACGCAGGCAATCATCACTCTAAAAGATGTGGGAGTTAAAAACAATGAATTAAGAATTATAATTAAGCTTTTGATCCAACAACCGAGCCACCTCGAGTTGCCACAAAATATTTTCCTAAAATCTCAACTTACTAACTGCAACCAGAATAGTAAAATGAGATTAAGGATGCTAAAAACCAATGCTTAATTAGAACTCTTAAATCCAAAATAACAGAATTAAAGCTAGCAAGAGACTATATGATCCAAAATTCTAAGCCACCTTAGAAAATCACAATATATTAATTCCAAAATCAATACAAATGTCATAACCACAACATTGTAATTGAGATTAAAGCTATAAACAGCCCAATGTCAAATACTAAGCAATAATTCAGTCACAATAATTTCCAAATATAATCAGATTAAGCAATACAATTATCCCAACAATCAGAAAAACTATCCTAAGACCTAGGAATTGTTAAACAATTATTGAGTAAGAAATTAAAGTAACTAGAACTCCCCTTGAAGATCCAAGCTCCTGCCATTATTGTTGAATTGGAGAATAGAGGATCTTAGCCACGGTTTGCCATCAAGTTTGCTGCCACCAGCAATTCACCGTATCCAGCCATGAAGAATATCGAAGGAAGAGTGGAGAAAACCGTCAGCTCCCCTGGTCTGCTCTCTCTCAGGTTCACTCGGCGCGTTCGTGTGTGTTCTGCTCGCTTGCGTCTCCCACTCCTGCTTCGCGTGTGCTGCTGGTTCGCCTGGTTTTGCTGCGCCCAGGAGAAGAAGAAGATGAATCCGTCGGTGATGATGGGTGCTGTCTCTCTCTTCTACTCCAGGTCCGTGTTCGCCGTCCAGCGTCCCCTTTGCTTCGGTTTGCTCTGTTTTGTGTCTTTGCTCTGTGCGGCGTCTTAGCGTGTGGGTCTCCCCTCTTTTCGTTCGGCCGCCTTCCCGTTCACTGAAGATGATGATTATTAGGTTGGGGCAAAACGCCAACTTATTATTATTATTATTTTTCTTTTTAATTTAATTTTTTTTTATTTTTGAATCTTCTAAAAACCTGCAAGCAAAATTCAAGGATAAGGTAGCATTAATTGTCTTTAAAAATCAATTAATCATAATTAAATCAAAACATGACAATTTTGCCCCTATAAAATAATAATTCAAAATAAAACAAAATAAATCAATTAAGGCAAAAAGGGACCAATTAAGTTGACAAAACCCATATAAAAGATATCAAAATATATAAAAATAATTGAGTTTGTCAACTACCTTGAAAAAAAATACATAAATATGAAAAACAAAATGGATTGGGATCTTATATTTAAAATTGAAATAAAAATCAAATAAGATATTATATTAAACAGAAATAATATGTTCTTTATTAATTTATTATTAGCATGTAATTATATTTAGCAAATAAAGGGGGTGAGAGAAGAAGTTGACCAAGACAACCTCAGGTAAACTGTGCGAATGCGTGCAGCGGGGGCATTCAATGTCTCTCCCTAGTCACCAGTTGGTTCAATATAAATTTTAGCCTCTCAATTTTATTTTAATTTTAATTTTAGTCTGTTGAATTTTAAACCATATATTTTAATCGTTCAAAGGATAAAATAATATTAATTTTTATTAGATTATAAAAATTAATATTATAAATAAATAAAAGACTTGAAAGATCAAAAGTTATCATTTGAAACTTAAAGAATGAAAATCAAAATCAAAATAAAAAATTAAAGAATCAAAATTTATATTAACATTTAGACTTGACCAACCGTCTTTCTGTGCAAAGAAAACAGACAAGAAAGACATGTAATTATGATCACAGAAGAACTATATTTTGAAATGCCCATCTTTCCATGCTTTATAAAAAGTCCCAAGTTCATTGTCACAGAACCGGTAATAATTGTTAAGAGAAGCTGTCTTAATCATTGCTTTGCGTGTCAGCGCCACCGGAAGATCGATCCCAAAAATCTAGTCAAGATTATAACCCTTTGTACTCTTTTTAATGTTAAATGTAAGAAATAAGTAACGAATTTAGTTTAATCATTTTTAAGAAATATGTGCTAGTTATTTATTTCTCTAAATAATTTGCATTTGATAATTGATACTACTCTATTGATTGAAGCCCCATTAATAAGTATAATTATTAGAAAGAATTTAAAAAAAAATTACAAATTTAATAAAAAGATAAAATAAATTAAAATCTTGTATTTAAAACTAAAACGAATACTTTTGCTACTTTTACATTTCAAACCGATGTAAATAATAAGTGTCGTATAAACATTATAGACTAAGATATAGTCGAAATATTAGGAAAAATTACACATAAATTCCATATAAGATAATTAATTCTGAAAAAGTCCTTGAAAATCTCCAAATACTTCCTAAGTCCTCAGGGACCTCAAAGCAAAAAATTAAAATTATGATTACTTACTTGCCCTCACTGATTGAAAAAGGTTGTAATTAGCTGCTGTGTAGGTTGTGACTATATACTGTGCATGTTGTCATTCGGTTGAGTGTGAGTTGTGACTGGCTTCAATGCATGTTATGAACGGCTCAAATGTAGGTTGTGATTAGCTGTTATGTAGGTTGTGCCTGATGCTGTGCATGTCGTCATTTGATGAATGCAAGTAGGTAATTTCACAATTTTAATTTTTTACTCTAAGGTTCATGAGGACTTAGAAAGCATTTGGGGATTTTCAAAAACTTTTTCAAAATTAATTATTTTTTGTGGGACCTTTGTGTAATTTTCCCGAAGGCTTATACCAATATGAAATTTGGATGGATATGATAATAAAGCTGTAAATGCACATAAACGTATCCATTATGAACAGAGTGCAACAGATACATATTTTCCAAATGAAACCCCTTTTTCCTGATCCTGCATATGAACATGATTAGGATTAAGTGCATATGCATCATGTTTGAATTTGACAATTGTATAATTAGGTATGTAAACACAAATTGACCAAGTGCCAACTAATTAAATCACATGGCCGTAGGACTTCCATTTTGTGCCGCGTTCACATTTTCAAATTGCTTCCCAAAGTTCTTCCAATTAACCTCGCAACCTTGCTAGATTATAAAATATATGTGTTGAAGTTTCAACACTGAAGGAGGCTAACGCGAATTTTGACTCCTATTTATCCCCAGCCTACCAGTATTGTACGTCTTCAATATACTATTTCTGATTCTAATTATAATACTTCGGATATATACGTATGTGGAACTGTGGATATATACGTATGTGGAACTTTGGAAAAGTAATACTCCTCCAGTCCTTAATTTAGGACTCAATTCTTGAGTTGGTTTCGATCATAAATATAAGACCCTTTTCTCATATTTATCAATTTTCTCTAAATTACCCCTATGAATACTCCCTCAACCATAATCAAGTAAAATAGGGAAATGGGGTATTAAGAAAGATGATTATGGTGTTTTAGAAAAAATGTGTCACTTTTCTTATAATTAACTAACTTACCTAACTTCCTTAATTTAATCAAATTAGTTAAATGGGTCTTATATTAAGGATCGGAGGAGTATATAAACAAGGTCTTATAATTAGGATCAAAAGTAATATCTTACAACCGTGGATATATACGTATGTGGAACTGTATTTTATCTTATTTATTAGCACGTGCGTTTTGACTTCTATTCATCAAGCTAAACCTCATTCAATTAAATCATGCGAAAAAAATGACAGAAAAACATTAGTTAAATCATTCAATTAAACCTCATTTATCTTTTTAAAATTTGATAGGTAATTTTTCTATCATCTTTCTAAATTATATCTTTATAAATAGATGGAGAGGCTGAGGCAAGTTCAAACCACACACGCTTATGTATATGTCACGCTATAATTTAAGATGGATACAATTTTCCCTTTTCTTTTTTAGCTCTAAAAAATAACATGACACATGTGCATGTATGATTCCTGGTACGTAGAGGATGAAAGATATAGAAGCCCTACCAATAAAATCGAAATTGTATTTTACATTTTATTGGTGCTGTTGGGAAATCTGCACAGATTGTTCTAGAGGATGGCTTGATGAATTGAACAGGATATATAGGGCCCGATCACTAATTGGGCCGACCCAGCGAGGCCCAACTTCTTCACTAGATTTGAGGGCGGGAGATTTTATGAGGCCAGTTAAACGAGTGGATGTAGATAGTTTGACATCGCGTGCTGTGGATAAGCCTGCGAGGATCATATCCTCAGCTCTTCACAAAATCACCGCCACGTGTTAGGTGGCAATCCCCGCTCTCCGTCGCCACTCGCAGGACTAATTTTATTATTCTGCACACTCCATTCATTAAGCACAGAGCGAGCGTTGTGGTGTGTTGTGTGAGAAACAATATCAGAAGCTGATGGCGTCCTCTGTGATGGCTTCCGTCTCCCTCAAACCGGCACCTTTCACTGTTGAGAAATCAGCAGTGAGAGGCCTTCCTTCCCTCTCAAGATCTTCTTCTTCCTTCAAGGTCGTTGCCAGTGGCGGCAAGAAGATCAAAACCGACAAGCCCTATGGTTGCTATTGTTCATAACACCCTAATCTATCTCTCTTCATGTTTATATATAGTTGTAACTCTTCGTTTGCGTATATATAACATCTTGGGCCGAATCATTTGCAGGAATCAACGGTGGCATGAACTTGGCAGATGGTCTTGATTCGTCCGGCAGGAAAGGAAAGGTTTGTGCCTACTTTGTTTTTACCACAGTGTATTATTAGTTACAGCCTGCAACACCCACTATGATTCTTAGCAACTAAACAACATATGGGCTACTCTATGTTGGATCTTGATTTCATGATATTTATGCTTCTTCCTGATTTTATGACCCGAGCCATACCATCGCCTTTTTAGTGATTAACAGTTAATAACAGTAATACCTACATCTCGGATATGTCGAAGTCACTTCATGGTTATTCATGAACTGATGTCTCAAATGGTACCCAAAAACCTAATTGTAATTTTGAGCAAAAAGTCTTGGAAATCCATAAAATAAAGTGGGTTGTTGTCCTCCATAAATAAATTCATGTTATTATTTTCGAAACTGTTGGCTATGAATGATGTAAATGTCTGGTCATGTTAATTAAGAAAGAGTTTAGAATTGTGAAGCAGGAAGGGAAGCAAGACTTGATTGTGTTATTAATGAATGGCATGAATATAGTATGATAGAAGTTGATTGAAGCTGGCGGGACTGACTGTGTTGTGTTATCAGGGGAAGGGTGTGTACCAATTCGTCGACAAGTACGGTGCTAACGTGGATGGCTACAGGTACGTAATTCAATCAAATTGAGCATACCATGTTTATCGAATCTACTTCTGATGATTGTGAATGTTAATTGCTTCTCTCACATGTAAGAGCTGCTTCTTAACTAACTTGGGTAGATTAAAGAAGTTAATAAATTACTGACGACAAAGGTAACATAATATCTCCAAAACATCCTTATGTAATACTATCTCTAGTTCTTAATATATGAACTCGTTTGATTTTTATTTTGATCCTAAATATAAAATCTTAATCCATCATGTCTCTCATATTTATCCATTTTGTTTTCAAGATAGCTTTATAATAATAGTGGTTCTAGCCAATACACTTAATTAGTAAGAATATTTTAGAAAAGATCACACTTATGTATTACAAATAACTAATTGAACTAATTTTTTTTAATCTAGATAAATAATTCTGGGAAAAATGATGAATACAGGAGACAAAATGTGTTAAGGTTTTAAATTTATGATTGAAACTAATTCCCCTGACTAGTTTTTGTATTTAGGAGCGGAAGACTATGATCCAAGTTTTGATGCAAATTGATAATTGGATGATGAGAATGATTTACGAGAGATGCTAATGTGAACTGCATTTTTTTTTTTGGCTCTTGCAGTCCTATCTACAACACTGAAGACTGGTCTCCAAGCGGCGATGTCTACGTTGGAGGTAGGAAATCCCTGTGTATATGAAGCTACAAAATATGAACACACCAGCACACACGAAACACGGGTTTAGCTCATTGAGTGGGATTGAAAACTTGCGATGCATGTGGTTTCTTAGGGTTGAAGTAATTGTGAGAAGATGATCATAAAAGTGTAGATAGAGAAGAGGTGTGTGAATTAATGGGTTGAAAATGATAATGCAGGAACAACAGGGTTGGCCATATGGGCAGTGACACTGGCAGGTCTTCTAGCAGGGGGTGCTCTTCTTGTGTACAACACCAGTGCCTTGGCACAATAGACTTACCATTATTCACAATCAGACCAATCATTATGTGTATCTTATAAATGTTCTGTATATCTGCTTCAGGCTTGGATTCTCAACTTTATGAAGCCTAGTTTTCCCTTCTCTATGTAATTATCCTTTCCACTCCACTCTCCTTGTTTCGTCTTCCTTTCGTCTTCCTTTGTACCTTTTTTTCCCTCCCCAATCAAAGCCTCTCTAATTTAGGTGGGTGTTTGGATAGAAACTGTGGTTTTAAAAGTGATTTTACAGTATATGAAGTTATATAAAGTTAGTATGTGAAAGAGTTTTATTTCTATTTATGTAGAAGTATTTTTGTCTTTCCTTGATTCCAAACACTCCCTAAGAGATCCTTATTGATCGACATTCTAAATGGGCCACTTCTTCTGGGCTTTTTGGCATGTCCAAATCTAATCCGGCCCAATACCATAAACGGGGTCTTTATGAGTTTGGTGGACTGTGGGTCCGTTTTTATAGTGTTGACTTTCACGGAGATCGATTTTGATTTGAATAATGGTCTCATCTCTCAAAAGGGGCCTCACGCTCGCACGAACACACTCATGACCTATTAGTTGGGGATCTTGACAAATAAGATACTTCTCCGTAGGGCATAGAGCGAGCTTGTTAAAAATTATAGTTAATTAATTACTCAGGTTTTCAGCTAAAAAAAAAAAAAAACTCAGGTTTTCTTCCTGGGTTCAGGACTCGTAGAGATTTTGGTCATTAATTTAAAAAATGTCAGTACAGTAAATGAAGATCTTTCCAGTTCACATATTTTAATCTCTTTTCTAGTAGTGAAGGAATTTGTGGTTTAAAGAAAAAAAAACTTTCACGTATTTTCATCAAAATTAAAAGAAGAAAATTGTTTAACTAACACTAAAAGTTAATATAATCATACATGCCTTGTACTACACCCGTTAATTTGGGGAAAATAACCTAATATCTGTATTGTCTTATGGGACTTTCGTTTAAGGTACGGGGATCCCTGGGCAAGTGCGCAGGGAGCTTTGAATTTTCTATTTATTAAGAAACAAAAAATCAGACTGAGTACTAAACTGATTGAGATAGTGGTTTAAAGGTTAGTTAGTCAGATTGGAATTAACTCGGGATCCAACTGGTCACATTAAAATTGTATAATTTAATTAAAAATAATAAAATATAATAACATTAATAATCACTAATAGCAAAATATAAGAAAATATAACAATTGTTTGATTGTAACAATGACAAAGTATGACAACATTGAAAATTTTGATCTTTATAGTTTATTATCAACTAAAATTAATAATCATTTATACCAAAATCACTATTAAAATTTATTTAAATCTATAGGGGTTGAGATATCAGGAGCTGAATGAGGAAAAATAGGACTAATAATAATATAATCATCCAAACCGGTTTATTATCGGTTCACTCTAGTTTGATTGGTTTGTTACCGATTCAATTGCCCCCGGGTTTAACATCCAAACCAAACCGGACCACTGACTAATTCACTGGTTTTCCAGTTGAACCGGCCAGTTCAGTCCTCTTTTTTTTCTCTACTATTTATATTGTTATTAAATTATTAGTGCTTAACATAATAACAACATTATGTACAAGGCCTAAACTAGTACTACCTCCTATCCTAATTATAAAGTTTCATTTATAGTTTACAAATAAAGTCTTACAATTATGACCGGAAGTAGTATCAGACTATTAGTCATGGCCTTGTAGGAAATAACAATTATTATTTGACCTAACGTTACAAATGTAAACAAACCCGGAGATCTTTTAATTAATCACTATTCAAGATGTTTTCTTTTATATTGAAACAACAACAACAATAATTTTAATTTTAGCAGCACGCACATATCGCAAAGGGAAGAAAGAGAGTTAGGTTAAAGGTAGCTTTCAGAATCATGTGATGGGAAGCAAAGATTTGGAGTTAGACTTTCAGCAGCTCACATACCAAACCTAATCCCTTACCTTTCAACTTTCTTGCATGATTACTGCTCCTTGCACGTGCTGCATATTCTCTTCAACACATTCACACTTGTCCTATCCATTTTAATTAAATACTCCGACCTAATTAGGAAATTAATGTTAGTCATATATGTAGAGCCTATTTCACTGTTTATCAATTTTTTTAAAAAATTAATTCTATTGATATTCTCCAAATAATAATCAAGTAGGAGAGAAATGAAAGAAATGAAAAAGAAAATGCTTAGGGTGTTTTAAAAAGACATATTTACTTTACTTAAATTAGTTAATTAGGTTTTACATTAATAACCGGATATCATCCCCATTTTGGCTTGACTTCCAAGTCTTCGCCCACAATTATATTTTTTTTCTATCATAAACATTCATATAGTTAAAATGAGATTGATATCAAAGAATGCAATCCATTCTGATGAACTAAAAAGAGAATGCAATTAATTAATTACAAGTTATAAATAATTTTTTTATATTTTATTTTACTTTTGTCAAACAATAACCATATATATGGATGTAACCTGAAGGGAATCGCTTTGAGATGAAGCAGAATGCCATGAACGCCTCACCCAATCCATCAACGCTGAGCTTCTTCTCTAATCGCTCGTTAATTACTATCTGTTTCTTGTCTTCTAACTACGCAAATGTCACAGGCCTAACACCTTATATATATATATATATTCCTCTCTTATATTGCTTTCTCTTAATCTCTCACATAGTACGTAAATGGCAAGTTGTCTTAGTTATAGCGTCATTCGTCATGTTTGGATGAAGTTTCATGTTCGAGCATAGCATAGATACGTTTGTGTGTATGTCTGTGTTTAAATCATTTAAAAAAAAAAAACCTCTCACACATTACTTGTATCTAAAATTATACTCAGGATTTCTCGAGATTTTTTTTTCTTTGAAAAAATTATCACCATAATATCTAAAGGTGAACACGAGCTATCTCACAATTCACAAGCCCTAGTTACCCAGTGAAGGAATGTAATCAGAAAAAAGGATTATTTTCCTAAGACCGTGGGCACTGGCCCATACGGTGGTCGTGCTGCACGGAGTCAATGGGGACCCTTAATCCATCTATGATCTAACCGCTCAAACATGGAATGAAAATAAATGAAATAAACAGCCATATGTAAATCCTAATACTCCTCTAGTTCTTAATATAGGATCTAATTGTTAAGTTGATATTGGTCCTAAATATAAGACTTATTTCTCATATTTATCAATTTTTCCTAAATTATCCTTATGGATCTCTCTCAACCGTAATCAAGTAGAAGAAGAAGAAAGGATATTAAGGAAGATGATTATGGTGTTTTAGAAAAACATATCATACATCATATAATTAACTAACTTACCTAATTTTCTTAATTTAGTCAAATTAATTAAGGGTCTGTTTGGGCCAGCGTGCAGCTTAAAATGAGCTTAAATTTTAAAATAAACTGGGTTGCAAATCGGACCTGTTTGGCAAAGCTTCAAAGTAATTGGGCTTATGTTAAAAAAGCCTATCTGAACGCCCAATTCCTATAAGCTGCAAGAAGGAGCTTATGACTTAAACCAGAAGAGCTTTTGGCGGAAAAAAAAAAATCAGAAGAGCCGATGCCCGTTCTGCGATGTCAGGTCTTTTTTTCCTCTCCCATTTGCCTTTTCCTCTCACAAGCATCATTTTCGTTTCCATTTTGGTTTATTAAAACTCAAAAAAATATTTTTGATTTTTTAAAAATTTTAAAATTTAATCCACTCATTAAATTTTATTTCTTCATATTATTTTATTTTAATTTTATTGTATTGTCTTAAATCAATTTTTCATCATGTTTCATTATTTATTAAAACTCATGCCTATTTTGGTAATTTTTCAGCCAAACTTACTTTTACTCAACTATAATCCAAATAAGCTTTTACCAATCTCACTTTTGTAAACTAGCTTTTCTGAATTCCAATCCAAACACAATTCAGCTTATCCAATTTAACTTTTACCAACTTTACTTTTTCATAAGCTACTTTTTCTATAAGCTACTTTTCCAATCGCTGATCTAAATGGGTACTAAATAGATTTTATATTAAAAACCGGAGGAGTATATTTCCCGAATAATTTAAAAGAACCGGAAGCCGTCGAAGTGTCACTTGACCCGCATTTCACTCCCCTAACATATGCACATATCAAAGCGTGACATCAGAGAGACAGAATATAATATCAATATACAACAACGGTACTCACATTAGATTATGTCTCTATCATTCAAGTTTTACATCAGATTGGCCCATTGTGTTAAATAAACCATTAGTTTTATATTAAGGTCACAATCTTCAATATCTGCTGAATCTTTGTTTTCCCTACTGTCACCAATATATAACAGCGTAATTACATCAGCCATTATTATCTAAACATATATAATATATACACAAGAATATATGGTTAGTTCGATGATCATTCATTCATTAATTAGAGGTGCATATATAGTCAATTACTAATTGGGTTGGTTGTGAGATCATTTTCTTATCATATCAAATCAGAATTTTAATTATTAGTTCCGAATGAAATACCTGGTCAAAAATGTACCTGTTTGCATGTCATCATGAGAACATACTAATTACCGAGTTGAACTCATTAAAAAAAAAAAAAAAATCCCCACTTCTAAGAGATCGAGCAGATTCAATAGGGCAAATGAATTCAGCAAGCAGCTATACTATTATACCATTTCATCGAAATGGCACTTGGAATATGTGGAAAATCAAATTCATCGACTGTAAGCACAATGAACTCTACGTACAGATATTTATGTCTATGAACCACCAGTCATCCCATTAATTACTAGTTATAGCGGGACATATCACTCGACATCTGAAAATTAAACATACTGAGGAACATGTGGATGTGTGTAAATTTTCTTCTTCCCCTCCATGCCCTCACACACGCCTATTATATTGGGTTGAAATGGAGGAGGGAGGATTAACAATTACTCTGGAAAGGCACAGCAAGAAGGAGTAGGTAGAAATACATAATTAGCGACTGTTCCATAAATAATTGGGAAACGGCGCTTGAGATAAGTAAGTCTGAGAAGCCTGAGCCTCAAAGCTGGTAGGCGATCCTTCCTGAGTTTCCATCTTGGTGAGTTGTGTCAAAAAAGCTTTGAGAACCTCGGAGTCATGCTGGGAAAATGATCTTCCTGCTGCTGCTGCTGCTGATCCAGTTGGTGGGCCCATTAGGTTGGTATGATGGTGGTTGAAGATGGTGGTGTTATTGCTAGGGTTAGGGTTTGTTTGATGAGGAGGGAAAGCATTGGAGAAGCAGGGCACTTGCTCATGCTGATGATGGTGATGAGCTGCAGAAGAAGGCTGATCAAAACTGATGTAAGAATCCATTAGTTCAGGAAGAGATGAAGAGCCAGCGTCGTCATAGCAGCTTCCCATGCCAGCTTTTCCATTTTCTTCTTCTCTGTTCTTGTCGAATACTTTACACAGCACCCAGTCTTCCTGTATGTATATATCCATAAGATCTGTAAATTCTTCGGTTGCACCCCCAAACAAAAAATGCAGCCTATGAATATACCTACATATTATTCTCTTGTGTTTTACTAATTGTATCCCAGCATCATCATCATCATGGGTCTCAAGATATTTTTTTAATAACAAGAATAGTACTCATCAGACTTTGACAGTATAAAAATATTTACTGGTCTGCGGTAAGTAAAGAGGCTTACACAAGGGAAAATAAAAGAGAGCATCTTAGGTCATCTGCCCAATATCATTTTCACAAGCGAGACAAATTTGGTTTTGTCAGAAAGCAAACAAATTCCATATATGAAGCATACAGCTAGCAAGGTTGATTATTGATTGTTAAATAAAACTTGACTTTTTTGAATCAACTAAAAAAATCTCTCTTCTTGCATGAAATTTGAAAACATGGAAAAGTCGTCTAGTCTACTCATCATATGTAGAGAAATGATATAGAGACTAGCTAGTAACACACACACGCACACGCACACGCACAATATTTATATAATCAAATATTATATAAAGATAAACAATGCCATATACCATATTTCAAAGGCTAGAGAATATTTCTTGCTATGAATAGAGTTTGATTTTTGTAGTGGTGATGATTAGTTGTAAAGAGAAAAGTTAACTGAATTAAAAAGAGTAGTATGTGTATAGAGGTATAGGGACCTTAGGGAAAGAGTGAGAGAGAGGAGGAGGAGGAGGAGGAGGCTGAAGGCGAAACTCATGCATGACCCAGTCAGTCTTTTTGCCTTTGGGAGCCCTTCCTTCATAGAACACCAAAGTCTTTCTCATGCCAACCACTTTGCCTTTCCTCACCACAGTTCTGTCCTTCCCTGTGGCCTTCCAATACCCTGACGCCGTCGCTCTATTTGTTCTCTGCCCCGTCGCATACTTTCTGTCTCTCTGCGTGTAGAAATACCACTCCTTCCCTCCCACATACGCCCCTTCTGCATTCACACACACACACACACTTGTTAAATAATATTCCAGCCAAACAACCACCTCATGGTCTTTGTGTATATATAATATATGTCGATCGAGTGTGAATATGATGAGTCTGGCCAGCTGTTATATATCCAAGTCAACTATATCCATACGGATTAGAATTGAAGTTCACATTGACAAATTAAACATAATCTCTTTCTTATATATAATAAATTCATGAATTTTAATCCTCTCTTTGACGAAGAATTATATATCTTGATGATATCACCACCAACTTATGCAGGAATTCAGTAAGTTATACGAGTCTATTGCTTTTGCTTCTATATAGACTTTGATATTTATTCAACAGAATATTACATCCATAATCTAAGGGATGCACGGTAATTTAATATATGTGTGTGATCTAGAGTGTGTTTTTGTGTTGTCTGTGGTACACACACACAAACAGAGAGAGAGAGAGAGAGAGAGAGAGAGAGAGTGGGAGATAGGATAATAAAGACTATCACTCTCCGCCTAAGTAATTGGCATTTGTTTGGTTCATTATTGTATATGTGTCTGCACATACAGAAAGAGAGAGAGAGAGCCCCTATTATTTTGAGCTCCTTCCTCATATTGCTTTTGTTTCTTCTGGCGTGCTTATCCGCATTGTTTCTTTCCTAATAGGGATGTATGATATTCTCACCAACAAATTACATATCAAGATAACTTATATGATAATCTTTAAAATCAATAAAAGAATGAAAAGGAATAAAACAAAAATATATAAGACTAAGAATAAGATGCGATTGGATACAAAGAGATGACGGTGAGAGTTGAAAGTTCACTTTTAAATTTACATTCAAACTCAATATTGTTACGCGTGGTGCTGCAGTGAAGATTATTGTCTTTCATCATCATGAGAAATCAACCTCTCGCAGGAAAGGACAAGTGAAAGAGCAATGAGTCAATTTTTTCAACAGCTTTGAATATTATGTTTACATACATATTCATTTCTTTATCGCTAATTAAGTTCAAGTTGTCGTCAATTAATATTAATGCAAAACTGTTATAAACATGTAAACAAATAAATTAAATTTTGTTGATATTTTCATCAGCAATTTTCTTAAGATTAATACTTCACTTTTCTCGCCTCAATTATTGATTAACTATCTCATTTATTTAGACTAATTAATATATCCTTCTCTTGTTATTTTGACATAGGATGACTTCCCTCCCTCTCCCTAATATGAATCATATATACCAGATAAGCTTGCCTTCTTCCATACTTGATGAATCTTTTCCTAAATACGAGCTGATGGAATTAAGATGCAGATCATAATATAACTGGAAGAAAGGTAGAGATCAGGAAGCGTGCAGGCCAAGTGTGTGTTTCATGTAAATAACTAGATATTTCAAAAAGTTTAGTGATCGATTGGCTTCGATCTGTATATGGGAGTAATTGACACAAGAATTTTCTAATAAACTGAGCCATTATTGGAAAGCATGTTTCATCAAACAAACAGCCGGCGAAAGACACGAATGAAGCTTAAATAATTCTGAACTAGCTAGCGACACATTGCAAATAAAATGGCTGAAAGCAACATGTCGCCATCGTTGAATCAGAAATATCCATAAGAAACAAGACCACGTACGGATCAAACTTATCCATTAATAGCTTGGTCGACGCATAGTGTCTTAAATTAATGAAAACAAAAATGAACTATATAGCAGCAAAAAAAAAAAAAATGGAAACTTGGATTCAGTTTCATAGCAGACCGTCCACATATATGAAGAAACTGGAGAATGAATGATCGATGATGAGGAGATTTTAGTTTAGAAAGAGAAAGAGATGGATACTACTGACCTGGAATTTCCCAAGGCTCACACTTGTTAAGGTCAACGTCGATCATGAGAGTGGAATCGGAATTATCACAGTGTGTGACTTTCTTCATCAAGTAATCGCACACAAGTTCTTCATCTCTGGGATGGAACCTGAAACCTGGGGGCAACTTCGCCTCCACCATGCTTATATTGCTCATATTGTTTGGAACTAGGAAGATGATCAAGCAATATATGAGAAATTCATGTGTGTGCAGTGAGAGAGAAATTGAAGGAGAGAGAGATATAGGGAGATATTAGATTATGGGGAGAGAGGGAGGCTATATATAAAAAAAGAAATTAAAAGGAGGAATCACAAAGTGGGTAAGTCAACCAGTAATTTCGCGGCAAGGAGGAGGAGGGTGGGTGGAGGAGAGAGAAAGAGAGAGTCTCTGAGTTTGATGACGTGGACAAACCAATCGCTGCCAACTTGATGACGAGTGTATCTTCAAGTGTTGGGATCCTCTGCGTCTTTCCTCTGTGCATTATTGAGAAATAAGCACACTTTCTACGGTGTTTGTTATTATATATAATACTTTAAAAGATAGTCTCTGCATAGGCATAATTAATTAATAATGAGCCAATCACCTTTAAAAAGAGGGCTTATCACTGACTGGTATGAAAGTCGTTTAATTTTGTCCAACTCTGCTTGGTCTTATGCCTGATTCATTTGGGCTAGTCCCTCTATCCCTATTAATTATAGTGTTTTTGATTTCTCTAAATTATCAGATTACTAGGAAATGAACAAGCTTTCTGCATACTTTGGCCCCAGATCATGTGAATTATATCTGGGAATTAAATAAGCTGTGTTTCTATTCAAATTGGTTGTTGATAATAAGCTGTCATCAACAGGGATATTTCAAGAATCATGACCCATAGGAAGAGTTTTATTTTCTTGTATCGGTCATTGATGAATAATTTAGATCACATAATGACAAATTACGGAAAGACATGTTGTGGCGCAAGACTCCCTTCTTTTTGCTAATCCCTGATAGGAGGATATGGGAGTTAGGACGTTAGGTTATCAATATCTTCATATATTAACACAGTTAAACATGGGCCGGGTGATAAATAAATTAAATAAGAGTGTGATTAATTGATTTATAAATAATCTCACGTTTCTCACCTTATATTTCAATTAGGGTTAGTCATCCAACCTCCTTTTACGTCCATCGCTTGCTTCAGTAAAATCCCATTTAGTGAATTTTCATTTTCATATTATTGTTGTGTTATACTACCTCTGGTCCTAATTATAAGTGCTGGTTGACTAATTTAAGGAGATTAAAGAAAGAAATTAAGTTAGTTATTTGTAACTAGTAATTATTGTCTTTCCTCAAATATCCTTGCTAATCAAATGTATTGGCTAAAACTAATATTGTTAGAAGGACTATCTTGGAAAAAAATAGATAAATATGAGAGATAAAGTGGATTATGGTCTTATATTTAGGACCAAAATAAAAGTCAAATAAGGTCTTATATTAAGGACCGGAGGTAGTATCATCAACAACAAACTATTTGAATATATTATTCATCATCCAGAAATTCAATTTTTGAATGTCTTTTTTGGAGTTCTCTCCACTGTGTGTTTTTCATAAGGCTAAAAACTATCTATTGATAATAAATTCTCTTTGTTGGCATTCTTAGTAACGTTTTGACATATGTTGAAGCCATTTTGATGATCACCAAAATATGAGGGGAAAAAATCAAAGTAATTAAGAAATCAGTGCGTATGAAAGTTGAAATGAAGAAATTAAAGCAAGAGAGAGAGTAGTGTGATATAGATGCATAGCATGCATGAATAGAAGAAGAAGAACGGAGATGAAAAGTAAGTAGTGTTGTGGGAGTGTTTGAAAAGTGATAGGATTTGTTCAAAGTTACGGATTTGAGAGAATTTAGGGGGCGGGGAGAATGTTAGGCAGCTGTCTCAAACCACACGTGAAGCTAATTTCATTGTCATTGATGCATGCAACTTCAACTTATACATTTAACTCTAACTCTCTTTTTTAAGCACACAAATCAAAGTTCTGCTTTCCTGTGCATCTATTGGGTCGTAATTTTGTTTCAATATACATATACACAATGGAGTCTTATAAAAAATAGCAGGAGAAGATCGAATACAATGTTCAATGAAGTGCCTTTTGATTAATAACTTGTCTAAAAAAATTTAGTTATTTGTAGAACACAATGATACTATTGTGCGATCTATAGTCGACTCTATCTAGTAAGATAAGACTTGTCATTGTTATTATTGATGTTTGTGTATATAAGATAGCACGGACATAGGAAAATAGAGGAATACATAAACTAATGAAATTGTGGATGCACGGATGGCTTGTTCAAGCTGAGTATAGGAATATCTGGTGGAGTGTAGACTAAAAATTGGTTGAAAATAAGGCACTCCACTCCCTTGAAACTTGGGAAACGGACTCCGCGGATAACGACCTGTGCTTCATATTGCCACCCTCCATAGTCATAGAAGAACCATATAGTGCAGTTTTTAGAGAGAGAAGGTTAGAGAAAGGTAGGGGGAAACTTTGACTAATTGTGATGCTAAACAGAGGCTCCCTACTTTTAGGTATGAGAGTGAAGTTTGGGTTCACGTGCATATCCCATGAAACTTTTAAGGTCTTCAGCAAATGCCGCAGATTCTTTTCATTTCATTTTCTTCGCTATCTTTGTCGGTGTTCAACTTCATTATTTCACCTCCCCTACCTCCATTCAATGACTTCAACATATTGGTATTTCCACTTTTGCACCTTTAGGTCCCGTTTAATACGAAGAATTTAAAACGAAGAATTGGAAATGTGATTGTGATTCAGAAAAATTATTAAAAAAGTTTTTAGCATGAGTAATTACTTACTATGTGTAATTAGGTAAACCCATTGAGGTGGGATTAGAGAATATCATAGTGGAATATGGTATTCTCCAATCCTACATATATGAGTTTGCCTAATTCATATAACAGAAATTTATGCTAAACACTTTTTCAATAGTTTTTTCAATCCCATCATAGTCTTTATCTTATTTTTAATGCTTCGTACCAATCGGGACTTCAAATCTCTAAAATCTGAGATCAATTTATTTGTCACCAACATTTCCCAAGAAAAATAAGTTGTGTTTCTTAAGTTCGAGAATCTTTACCATTATTGTTTATATACAAAACCTATAGGATTATTGCTCTGATAGTGAAACGAATGATAACAAGAACATGGTCACTGGATGTCTGTAACAGAAATGAACATGTTTGACCCAATTTTTTTTTTTAAAAAAAGGGAATCAAAATGTTCGGCTAAGTTGATAAATACATGAAAGTGATATTTTTTGGGGCAACCATGCATGAGAATGATATTGTACCTATCTAAACCTGTACAACGATTTGGTCTCATCAGTTCGTTTCCGGCAATTCCTCTAAACCAGACGTGGCGAAAAATAAAAGGGGGGCCCTTAAGAGGCTGCCAAGGCCACCCACACGTGAACGAAGTTATCCAAATGTAGACTTTGAAACAGGGTGCTCACCCAAAACAAAGGCCTTCCTCACTGCCAAGCAGTCCTGGTCTTCAATTCACTTGCCTTTCAAACACCACTCAATCATTCTCCACAGCAGAAAACTTATTACGTAATCTCGGATATCAGAAAATGCCACTTCTTGATAGAGATAGTCCGTTCTACATTAACATCATCTTCTTCAGTTCAAAGATGGATAATCACCAATAATGGAACACAGACAAATTTGACTGTCCCGGCCAGCACTCTGATAAGAACTTGAGAAAAAGCTGCTTGATTACATTCCTGTGTCTTCCACAGACATACACACACGTGCATGCTAGCATCCTTATTTTCTCTGAATAAACATTAATTAAGTGAAACCAGCAAGCTTGGTCATCTAGAGGAATGTTGCCAAAATGTTTCCAAAATGAAAAGTATCTTGGGCTTCAAATGTTGGGGCCCCAACCTTTCTTCTTCATTGGGCTATGAGAGAAAATATTCTGAAGTACGGCAAAGACTACATGTTGCCAGGGTTTACCTCTCCTTCATGCCTAAAACCTAATGACAAGTCGGGTATTCTACTGGAATGGGAGAGAGTATATGATATGTCTCACCTCAAAAGCACACAAGGAAGAATGTTGCCTATAAGAATGGACTTGGCAGCTGCATATAACAAGGAATTTGAGCTCAAGCAATCTGAATTGGAACCCATTGTATCCCTCAATTTACTTTGGCCATTGAGATTTTGAGGCATTATAATTAATGCTAGGCATGTAACTGCTGAAAATCTATTTGTACGCGCAATCATTCTACCTTCTACAATCACGCACAATTGAAAATCGTAACATGAAAAAAACAGCAGATAATTAAAGGGTCAAAATAAGAACTTCCGCTCTAAAACAATTCACTCTTCATTTAACTTTGAAGAAACTGTGATAAAAAGAAAAACATAAGCATGTCCAAGAAGCTGCCGTTGAGGAACCAAAATAAACAGCAACCATACGCACTATATACAATGTTACCATTACTATATATGTCATCAAATCATGTCAATCTTGTTTGCAATTACGGCCCCAATCTAGGGGAGAAAAGTTGACAAACAGATTTGCGGGACAAATAGTAATCTCTGTAAGGCTGAACAAAATTTACAAAAGATGCTCTGAGAATAACAAGCCCTGAAAAGTTATCTTTTTTAAACAGAACAGGGAATAAAATATGTAGTTAAAACACACAGTACATATAAAATGTGCAGTCTGTTAGTCCTCCAATTGAGCAAGGCTATGAAAGAGGCATTGGGCCTAAGAGACTGTTTTCCTATAGGCCAGATAAATGAGGACTCAGAGAGAGAAGAAATTCCTCAGATGAGTCAATATATGGACAGGAAGTAGCCCATGATTGGCTTCAGGAAGAAATAATTGAGAGAAAATTAATTGGAAGAAGGGGAGGATGTTAAAAAATTTTTTGGGAAGGTTTGACTTTTGAAAGATATCTGGCTGTCTTAAATTGTTATGGAAACTAATGCTTTTCTTGGTTATTTTTTCTTTTCTTTTCTTCTGCAGAGTCTCACTTTTTTGGTTACTGAGGCTGATTGGCTGAACACTGTGTAACTCTGTTTTGCTCTTTCCCAGAGTGTTGGTCACCTCTCATAGTCCAAACAAGTAACTTCAAACTTGACATCAGACGCCATTATTGATCATTTAAATTGAATCATCGAAAATGTAAAAGAGGAGAACAGTAAATCATCATACTTGGTACTGAAAAAGG